AATGCACATGTAGCACCTCATGAGAAAGAACAACATCACATTTAAAAATGATCATATCATATCAGGAAGCCGATGTGCCCCAAAGTCACTAAATTTGAGGTATAAAGTTTAAAATGATTAAAATTTTTGGACACGAGTTGTCATGATTTGTTTTAGATTAATATGAAGCTAATGGTAATGCAAATCCAAAATGATGCCCATATTTTGCCTTCAATTTATCCACTTAAGTGCCTGCACAGAACTGGTCTGTCCATTCACTCTTTATGGAAAAGTTTCAAAAGCAGTGCTGGTTTTTAGGCGAGATGATGTAATCACCGAGCTATGTTACTCAGTTTCAAACTCACTGAGCGGGTGTTTGAGTTGGCCGATGTTATGTCAGCTTTGGACTGAGGTTTGACTTTGATTCAACGTGTGGCTTCTTCTTCTTTGGCGCTCTTCATCTGTCTTTTGTCCAGGTATAAGACAGGACTTTAAAAATGGGAAGAAGAAAGAGGGAGGAGACACCAGCATGACTGGATTGTGTGTGTTTGAGGGGGGTCTCCATTTAGCGGTCTCTATTTCAAAACAGGAAAAAATCAGAGTACTATCCTAATAATCCTGAGCAACCTCCATGCTTTCCTGATTTAGCCTCACCATTTAAAGAAAAATCCTTGAATGAAGTATTACTGAACTATTTTAAGTTTCCTTTTCCGGTGCCAATTTTTTTTTCCCTCTTTGCTTTGTGATGTTCCTCTGGGTTAAGGAACCAAAATAACATCAGGGAATTAGGTAAGCACGTTGGTTTTTCATTCAGGTCTCTCAAAATTCAACGAGCAGCAGACACTAATACCAGACTCCTGTGACGCAACCATCTCCTCCTTCTCATTTCCTCCTTGGCGGGGCAGAGGGGCCCCAGACAGGAAGCCACAGGTTCGGCAGCCAATCATGTGCCAGAAAGCTGTCAGATCCTTATGGTTGCCATTGGCCCACATCAGAGCGGTGCAGCAAGCCTCTGAGGGTTCTTCGACTCCAAAGCCACCAGGGATTCCCTCCGGCTGCTGCCATCTGTGCCCAACCCCAAAACGGTTACAGAATTCAACCATTAAAAGGAAATAATCGGTAAGAAACACAGGATCTTTAAATAAACTGTGCGTCCCACAGACCAGCGCTACTTTTGATGTAAATGGGTAGGGAAGTTCGGTTTTCAATTGTTTAATGTTGGGAAAATAAAGCAAGATTTAAACACGCTGCTGTGTCTGTTTCCAGTGTAAAGTCTGTTTTTCAAAACTTAAGGTCTTGTGAGAAATGTCTCATTCTGGAATGCAGCCCCATAAAATCTTGCAAATGTTCTTTCACCCACACCAAGATTTAAACTACATTAACTACAGGCTTGAAAATGTAAAGATGCTGGCTGTGAAGCTGAGCTTGGGTATGAAAATGCTGAAAACCAGCAGTCAGAGTAATAATCACTCTGCTAAACGCACATCTGAATGAAAAACCGCAGTGGTTTCAACTAAGCCGGGGGAAACGAATCAAATGTGTTGACAAACAAGCCTTGAAGATATGAGGCAATCAAGAGGCTGGAAATTAATTACTGGGAGGAAATGTGCAACTTAATGTGTCAAAACCGCAGTAATGCTCATTTCTGCCTCCCAAACATAGTTTTGACCTGATGGAAGAAGTATGAGTGCAGACACTAGATTAATTTCATCCCTAATGGGACACTCAGAGCTCAGACTGAGATTTTTGAATCTAGTGGAAGAAGTTTGTCAGTTTGTGTCCAGAGTTGCACTGATAACCCATCGTTAAAATTATAACCCAGGCATTTTACGTCTTCTCCTGTGTCTCCCCTTTTCTGTACCTGCACTTTCAATCCTCTTAGTTTCTGGCTGACAGACAAGATGTTGCTTGAACTTGAATGTAACACACAACAACAGCAGGTAACACACAGTGGCAAGCGTGGTCATTTCTCTAACTCAGATGTGTATAAACTGCAGAAGACATATGCAATTAGGAAAACTTCAGATTTCAAATGACTGTCTGATCGAAAAATAATTAAATGTGAATGTGAAAAAACATCTGATGCCAGTTTTCAGTACCTGACAATTTGTGATACTCAAAACAACATCTTTTGGTAAGTTAGAAAAATGGTTCAAGTGAAGTTCAATAGCCAGCCCTGGTGATGGACTAATTGAAAAATACTTTGATGTAGTTTTAGTGAAGGTTTGTTCCCCCTTTCCCCATTAACATGGAGTATTACATTGTGGTGGTTTTACATTATTAAATCATTATGTTCAGCGATCAGAATCTAGCTATCAAAATAAAGATACCATAATAGCCCTGGACAATTTTTTAATAGTGATAATAAAGCATTAAGTTCTTTGTCACGTGATGATGGGTTGACATCTACATGAGTTTACATCTACAAAAAAAGCTTCAACATTAAATGAATTTTGAAATAATTCTCTACAATAATGATGGTAAAATGGCGTGGCCTGGCACAGAAGACTTGCCACCACATAGTCTGGAAGGACGGACAGAAAGACAACGGCACTGCCAGGATGCTCTCCTGTTAAATTACAGGCCTGCGAAGATAAGCCCTGCATGTTTACACTCTAAATCTAGTACTGCCTGTAAATTATAGTACAACAGTTGTATTTATAAACGCCATGGTCGTATTTTAAACCCTCTAGCAGCATGGCTAAAGCAATGACAGCGATATGAGGGATGCTGCAACAGTCCAACACGAGCCACTTTTACATAGTGAAGCCAACTATGACTTGCTGGGATCAGGATTAGCTTAAAGTGTTTACAGCAGAAGATCCAAAGTACTACTTGTTCTTTTAAAACTATAGCCGAGTCAGCGGGCAAACCGTGCCAGTAAGCTACGAGACGCCGAGAAAGGAAAATGTTGTTTATGAGGAAATTGTGTGACATAAATAATATGTAAGCCCTGTTTGGCCCTGCAGTGGAAACCTGGCAGTCGGTTGCTTCCTCTCCTACTTATCAAGACTGCCCAGCAGACTCTGGCTGTGATGCCAAAAGGTCACGGTCACTGGTGTTATCGCACTATGACTCCATCCTCGCACACAAACAAGACGAGGCTGGGGTGATAACAGAGGACAGAGTAACAAAGTTGAAAAATAGAAACAGTGTCGGCTTCCTGGCATTAGGAGACAGATGATGTATGCTTGGATGCAAAGATAAACACACAGATACTTTCATGGACAGAGAGAAAGAGCAGCAAAACAGAGGATAAAGAGGAAGAGAGTCTGCTGAAATTAAGGCCTCTGGCTCTTCTACAACACTAGCAGAACCATTCCTATTATTACTGCCAGCATTGATAGGATTGTATTAGTATTATTAACAGTAGCGGGAAAAGAGAAACAGTACACCCATTAGATGCACTAGTATTACTAGCAGAAAAACATTAAAAAGAAGTAGTCAAAGTACTAGGGTTGGGTATCGAGAAACCATTGGATCCAGTACCAAATTTCCAAGAACCATGGATTCAAGACAAGACAAGACAATTTGGATTCTGCATTTTTCAGTTGCGCTCCCGATTGAAATGCAGTGAGCATTTTACAGTCCATAAAAGTTGCAGTTATCTGCTAGGACCTGCTACGTGGACCTAACGTCACATCATTTGTTACGCAGTACGTCAACAAAGCCTATGAGAAGATAGTACTTCTGTCTACATTACTGGACTATGGCAGCGAACGCTCAAAGGTGTGGCTTAGATTTACTTAAAAAAAAAGAATGACACAGCAAAATGCAAGACCTGCAGTAAGGAGATTTGGTGCAAGGGAGGAAGCAGCTCCACCATGACGAAGCATTTACTTCTACACGGCTTAAATCTGAAGGTGCGCACCGTGTTCAATGTGTCGCGCTCTCCCAGCTACAATGATGCCCCAAATACAGCTAACGCTAGCTAATGCTAACATCTCAAGACAGGTTCAAAACACACGAGCTGACACTCACCTTTTATATTGAAGGGAAACGATTTGTAAAAATAATTCCGATGTGTAAAAATAATTCCAATATATATTTTTCTAAGATACATGCCCCGCTAGCACAGAAACTCCTTTCACTTTAGCCATGAAGGGGAAGATGAGCAAGTAGAAGGTGAATGAATGTCACAGAGCGCCGACAAGACTTTGGGTGTAGGGGTTGGAACCAGAACAGAGATTTGTAAGTAGAATCGATAAAATTTAAACAACCCTAAAAAGTAGCTTGAGTTAGTAGCCACAGCATGAATACTGACAGAAGCTATACTACTATAATATACAACTACTAAGTAATCCAGCTACTAGTGAAGTGTTTCAAGCAGTTGTAGAAAGCTACGCAGGTGCAAAGAGCTATCACTGCTACTACTACTAGCGACAGTTGCAGGGGTAAAAAAGACGTACATTAAGAATCAGCAGTCGTTGTTGTAACTATTTTTTTTTTGTCCTAGTAGTACTGTGTAATATCTGCTGAAACACAAGCTGAGACAGTAACTGTACTAAAAATAGTAGCACTAGTAGTGGAAGAAGAGCCTCTAGCAGTAGAGGAGAAAATTTGCTTGCCTCACTGAAGCAAGCTTGTGACCTGAGGGACGCTGGTTCAATCTCTGGACCAGTAGGATAATCCCGGGGTGGAGGAAGTGAACAAGCGAGTGTTGGCACCTCCTTCATTACCACCTGAGTTGCCCTAGGCCCTAAAACCCCAACGGATCCAGTGTAGCTGCTCAGTGGCCAGCGGATCAGACTGTGGTTGTATTGGGCAGCTTCCAGGTGTGGATGTGTGTAACTGTGTCAGTGTGAGCAGTTTCTAAAAGAGGAGAGAATTCATTGATGCCCTCAGTGAAACTACCTTAAATAATAAAAGGTAAGGCAAACTTCCAGTAATGATAGTACAAGTAGCATTTTTAAACAAAGAAGTAGTAGTACTGTCCTACCGCCACTAACCACTACTAGTAGAAGAACAGTATAGCATTGTACAGTAGTAAAGACAGCAGGAGCATGAGGTGTCAGACGTACCGAACCTGCGGCAGAACACCCCCATGACGGCACTCTCTTCCACCACTCTCAGATCCGCCAGCAGAGCCAGCTCCAGCCCTCCAGCCACAGCGTAGCCGCTGACAGCTGCTATCAGCGGCTTTGACAGTTCCAAACGGGAGGGACCCTGGAGGAAACAACCGGATTAGACCGTCAAAACACGCACACAGTTAACAAGGCAGCGACACAGTTTCCTGTAGAATACATCCCACCGTATGGTATATTTGAAGCCTGTCTATATGAATATATATTTTCACTTTCCATTTCATGATTTTTGCCTCTCTTATTTCCATGGTTTATGCACTAAAAACTCTCCAGATTTTATTTTCTGAATTCTGTCTCAAACTGTCAAACAAAAGAGTAACAAATGATCCAAGTTCTGGCTGTCGCTGAACAAATGAAGTACTGTGTATTCTGCAAGAGATACAGCGCTATAATTTTCTGCACAGGAGGTCCACTCAATCCCAAAGACTTAACATGCAATCCAAACAGATTGTATATAGGCTGCAGCTTTTTTAGCTCACAGTACATCATTTATGTAATGATCCTTACTCTTTGTCAAGGAGTGAGGACTTTCTGTTAATGCTTGACACACACACACACACACACACACACACACAGACCTACACACAAACATACACAACTGTATTTATTAAGGCATTTCTCTGATTCAACATAATTCCTAAACCCAAATTTTCCCCACTATCTGCCTTCCTAAACCCTTAAAATATTCACAATCATGGCTGACCACATCTTCTGGTTTTATATGTTTGTAGAAACTTTTAGCCCTCCATTAAGATCATAAGGAAATATAGATATAGAACCCTCACTAGCACATGCACAGCGCTCACCATCGGACCGGGACCCTTGGTGACATCTTTCTCCAATTTGAGTCGGGCTTTGCGATTGGCCAGCTCTTTCAGATCATAACCAGCACAGAAATTCCCTCCTGGAGGAGACCACAAAATTACTAAGTATGGCAGCTGGAAAGTCAGAGAGGAAGGGAAAATGATGAGGATGAAAAAAAACAACAAGTTGAGCTGAAGACCGAGGGCTGCAATTTGGATAGCAGCTTGCTCTGGGTTGGCTGGCACACAAATGCTTCTCTTCTCCTACAGAGCCCGGATCCAATACATAGTCACAGATCATGTGTGCACATATGGACATACACAATATCCTCATTAATGGAAGACTAACATACTCCAACCACAGCCCCTTCCGTTGGATTCATGTGGTAATTACAACATTACCCAAGAGGCCTACAAACACTATGTCACAGGCTCAGGCAGGGACTCATAAAATCCTCCTCTGTCCTTAATGTAACAGTAATGAAAATGATTATAACGAACACATGTGCCAGCAACACCCATCAAGTGGGAGCTTTGATTACAGCTGTGGGTCAGCGCAGGGCAATTATAGAAAAACAGTGCGTCATGCTGTTTATGGGAGCAGCGACGTGATGAAGCGCACTAAAACCCTTTGTCCTTGTAGGAAAAAAAAACAAAGAGTACAAGAGCTGGTCCAGTCATGGAGGATCTTAAAGCACTTTTAGACTCTTAGAGAAGGTTTTTTTTAGTGAAAAGAGACAGGCCAAACAGACTCTTTTTAATTTGAGTGATAAACGCTTAGAAATGAGGTCTTTCTAAATAAGCAGTGCAGTTATATCAGAGATGTTGCAAGGAGAGAAGAGCAATGATTAGGAGACTTAGCTGAAGCCTTGTGGGTTCAGTTTTTTTTAGCTTTAAAAAGGGGTCATTACAACAAAATTATGAAAAGAAAACAACATTTTCCCCATGTGAACACACTGAACACACTGCAAACAGATTTCACGAGGACCATTTCTTCTGTACAAAGTTGATAATGTCGACAGTCATATAGTCACACTATAAATCTGAGATGTGGCAGGATGATAAAGCAGAAAAAAACATGACAAACAAAATTACATGTGTTTCAGTTGTTCCTCTAATTTTTGTGTTTTTTCTTGTGAATTACTGGAACATTTTAAAAGCCTCTAAAACATTTCATATAAAGAAAGCAAACAGGGGCTTTGTTTGACCTGGTCAAAATTGATAAGACGCACAGAACCACTGATGAAGCCAAAAACGTTGGGAACCACTGTTTAAGACAGGCGTGCATTTAAATGTTGGTTAAGCAGCATGGGGCCTTTTCCTGGTTCAACATGATAACAGGTCTTTTTCACCAAAGACATTTTGTCATGGTAGGAAAAGCACGGGTGTAAATAATTCAGTTAATTATGGCTGAATTCCAATTAGCTGCTTGAGTTTCAGGGTCTTGGTAGCCTACATGCTGGCTCACGGTCACACTGTCATGGCTTATTGGGACACAGAACAGAGAGTTAACGTGATTAGGAACACCTGTGCTTTTCTTATGACAAGTCAAAATGTCTGCTGTGGAAAAGACCCATGGCCTGTGCTAAAAAGCCGGATTTAATGTAGAACACACCTGACATCCAACCCCATTTAAGTTCTTTGTGATAAACTGGGACATTTTTTATGTAATGTTTCACTGCTATGAGAACCAAAAACCAAATTCCATTTGAATGGATTTCTCAAATCTTGGACAAATAAAACCAAAACTACACAGATGCCTCTCGAGGTTAGTGAGAAAATATGTTTGGGGGTCTTTTTGTTTAGTATTTTTGTAATGAGCTAATGAACCGTTTACAATTTATCACTTGATGACCAAGTGAAAAACACAAATTTGAGGACTGTAGTGAGGCTTTACAGACATTAAAAATGGCTTCATCTCAGTTCAGCTGAACACATGCCTTTAGTGACACAGCTGGGCTGACATGTAGTTTGCACCTGGCCACAGAACAGCCACAGAAATCTGAATCCCAAACACTCCAAATATGCGGCAGCATACTCAAAACCTGGAGAAAGCAATTACTCTTAATTTCACAAGCTAAAGAAAAAAAAAACATGTCGACACTGAAAAACGAGAGCTGAGAGAGTGACCACGTTGGCGCTAATTTGAACAAAATGGATTCCTTATGTTTTCAGAAACACTACATCCCAAACTACGACCTCCCTGCTTGACATCTCATAACACAGACAGACTGCTAATCACCACTGAAGGTCAGTCTTCTTGTTCAGTGGAGCAGCAATACAGTCGACCTGCTGACAGGGATGTGTGGTGGGACGATTAAAAGCACATTAGAGACATTGTGGGAATCACAGAAGAGCCACTTTTGCTGGAACGACCTACTGTGCCGCTCATTACTAACCCATTTAACACCAGCTAATTACTCTTTAACACACTGTTTTCTGTTCACAGCTGAGACTAAAGGCACTCAGCAGCCGTCATCTGGAGAGGCTCCAACCTCTAAAGTACCAAACAAAGTATATACTTGTGTCTCTGGAGGCCACAGTGCACGTTACAGCAGACAGGTTGATCCAGGTTGAAGACATTATTTCCACTGAGGGACGGAGTTCAGTCAGTATGTGTGATGATTGTTTTTAGAGGTATTAGGAGCTGTGGCATGATTCTGGCTTTGGGCAGCTGACATAGTGCAGGCCACATCGCAGGTGTGTCTGTTTTTTTTCTGTTTGTGCACAAGTCTGGTCACCTCGGCAGTTCGGCTAGATCTCAGGACTCCAAGGAGCAAAGGCTGGAAAAAAGATGCTGAGGAGGAAGGTGATGGAGAGAGGGAAGGTCGAGGGCTGAGGAGAGTAAGAAATGAAGGGCTGAGGAAGAGAAGGTGGAGTAAAACAAACAAACAAAATTTCAGTGACTACCCCATGACTTTGCATAACCACATCAGACCGATTCTACGACCTGCAATGTTCTCCCTTTCTGGTTTGCAAATATTTTTCAGCTCAGATTAATAATAAAAAAAGAGTCTGCTTTCCTTAACCTTGAAGTTAAGAAAAAAAACATTCTGGCATGCTTATATAAAAATCACCCTTTTGTAAAAGTGCCTTAAATTCTCTAATTTGCCAAGACAATGCCTCCAAATTAGTGGTCGACAGGTATGGGTTTTCAGTGGCTGATGTTGATTTATAATGGTAACATCAAAACAAAGTCATGTATCATTCCATTACTCCGTGCAGAGTACAATCTAATATACATCGTTATCTTATAATAAGTAATATGTTGTTTTAGATGGAAATTATGTTAATTAATGAAAAAGAAAAATCGATTGGGTTATGCTGTAGATATCAGAGTGTGGTAGGGTTTGTCAGAAGTGACGTCATTCAGCAGCATTAATCTCTACAGTATAACAATATAAATTTAACACAAGCCACAATGGTAACTGAGGAAATTTAGAGCTCCAAACTAACTTTTACACCACCTTCCCAAAACTCACAAGGGGGAGCACTAACACTGTTCCACAGCAGCCACACTGACAAGGCTGCCTGCAGACTTGTTTTATATATCAGCCTCGTGAGCACAGGCACTGGCCGATACCGATTATCTCAAAATGTCAGATATCAGCCGATTAAATTTGAGTTTTTCCTACAGTGCAATGTTGCCAAGCAACCTGTGGAGACTCCAGGAAGTTACCGCCCGACCAAGAAATAGTCGGGCACATATATCCCCCATAAAACCACAATGTGTTGTTTTACACTGCGGCGTGTACAGATTAGACAAACAAGATATAACACGTTACTTAGTGAGGATTAAAGGTGCTGGTAGACAGATTTTGTTACTTGAGCACAGAGCTGGGCTAACTGGCATCACTCTTCTCATCTAACTCTCCGCAAGAAAGCAAATAAGCGTCCTTCCCACTGGCATCCTTAACTATTTCTTTAAGGTGTAATGCTCTCAGAGTCTTATGATATTCCAAAATATTCCATCCCCAGTTGTGTAGCTGAAATGTTAAAAAAAGAGCTGCAGATAACTGGAGGAAACACCTAGAGGGAAATGACTGATGCTGAGGACGACAGGATGGCCTGTAACCAGAGACAAAATCCCTCAATATCAATTAAACAAGGCTCACACTCCATGTCTGTCTCCTACAGTGCTCTTACCTTTCCCGTGCAGGACAGCCACGTTCAGGTCTTTGTCACTGTCGAAGGCCTCCAGCTCTTTGAGCAGACGCCTCGCCGTCTCCTGGTTCACCGCATTACGCACCTCAGGGCGGTTTATCGCCACGGTAACCACGGACCCCCTGCGCTCTGTGACCACAGTCTGTCCCGCAGCTAATGACAGAGAATGATAAAGATGCACAGACAGAAACCAATATGGACCGAAACACTTAGAAAGAGGCCAACCCAGAGGCATTAAGTTTAAACTCCACAGTAAGAGGGATGGAGAAGGAATGTAAATCCTTTTATGTGGACAGACTTGGTCATAGAAACAGCGAAACAATGAAAGAAGATGGCCTGGGCTGAGGTGAGGGCCTTAGCTCTCGCTCTGTCTCAGTGTGTGTTTATTGAAGTGTGCGCGCCAGTGATTGTGGCTTGAGGTTGCAGCAGGCAGTTGACCTGACATTGTTGGGGTCATCCCAGAGAATCCAGCTGTCACCCGCAGCCAGAGGCAACTGCATCCCAGAGAGAACGGCAAAGGAAAACAAAGCTACTGGATGCATTAACCTCGCTCACACCAGCTATTCTGAGGAGAAAGGACTGGTAAACAAAACCCAGTGAAGTGAGGCCTGGCAGGATGGAGGAAGAAAAAGGCAATTTGTCTTAGGCCGTCCTCTCTGCTCTGCTGCACCTCAAACTAATTATCACAGAGTGCAGCGTGTGCACAGGACTGGAACCACCTTTTAACTTTGTAGTGTTGTTTTCCATTTTATTTCACAGTTACATTTTCGGAGTTAAGCTCTGAGTCGGAGCAGAATGAAGTGAGCCAGCAGGGCAACGAAAACTAAACATTAGGATCACATTTTAGAAGTACAGCTGCTTCTGAGAAGGGGTTCTGTCTATGACTGACTATGTTGATTTATTAAGTTTATGTTCTGCTTTACCTATATTTATTAGACAAAATGAATCAATTATCCATAACCAAAATGATAGGAGCAGCCTAAGAAGCATTGGCCTCTTTGGAGGCAGTCTTAACAGGACAAATACAAGTAGGACTTTAACCACTGATATTGGCTGCATACCACTCAGGTTTACCACTTTCAGGGCCTTGGGACTGTGCATTCTGGCTCAATGGCGAGCCTTCCTGTATTACTTAATGGAACTGAGCCCTCTTTTAAGATGAATAATTACATCTGTGCTTGTTCTCTTGTGACTTGAGTGAAAAATGTCTGATGCCACACAATGAGTAAAACTTAACAAAATGCGGGTTTAATTTGAAGTTGTGTAAATGTGTATTGGCTACTTTGGTGAGCTTTGTCTCTTTCTTGCGTTCTGTGTCGACTCTAAGTGATCATGTGACTTGTGCTATCTTGCTTACAACACCTATAGCTCTCAGGTGTGTAACGTTACAGTCTGTGCTGCCATTGTTGCGGCCTCTGCTGCCCCCTACAGTCTTTATTAAGTTACTGACTGACTGCTGCCACACATACCTGGTCCAGTGTCTTCACCTCCCGTTGCAGTGCTGTAGCATTTTACTGGCCACAAACTCGCCTTTATCGACTGTCCATATGGTTTAACGTTACTTCGACAGTTAGCCCCTAAAATTGGTCTCAGTGTCCAAAAAAGTTTAAGCGCCATTGTTAACACTCACTCATGAACAACCTAACGTTAGCTCTAAGTTACCTTAACTCATAAAACAATAGACAAAGTAAGTTAGCGCTTCCAAATTTAAATATTCCAGTGTCTGAAAGCATAAACTTGCATTACAAAATGTACCCCGCTAGCTAACGTCAACCTTCATAAGGCTGAGCAACACTTTCATACTTCCCACTGCAACAAATAAAGAACAAGGTTCTGGGACATTTACTGCTGCATTGCAGTGGTAAAAACAACCACCGTGCAGCAGAGGGCGACTTTCAGCCACTCTGGAGATCTACTGTTTCCTCTGCAATGCAACGTGGCTCCGTGGTCATGCAAATGACGAAAGCAAACCCCAGAAAAGATTTTCATTCATTTTTTTAATAAAAGATTTCTCTTTTGTGTCTTTTTTACACATTTTAAGGCATCATGCACAAAAAATAAGCCGTACTAGAGGCGTTATGCTTACCCCTCTGCCAAAAACTATATGCTCTAACATTTGAAGATTTGCTGTTAAAAATAAGTTTGTACAAATATGGCATGTAAGCTGGCATGTCAGTGAATCTCGAAGCAGAACATTACCTGCCTTCACTGTTTTTGTAAACATGGCTTTGAGCAAAAGAGGGCTGAGGAAAAGACGAGAAAGGGAAAGCATGCTTCAACGTGGGGCTAAATTTCCCTGAAAAGCATGCAATGCATCTTAAATCATATTTACAATGCATCGTTTTTACTCTCAACGGAGTTCTTTTTTAATTGTATTGGTTAAAGTTAAGACATTAAAAAGTTTGTCAACAATACCAGACAGACAGACTGACAGAAAGACAGGATGTGTCCATAATATTTCCCAACCCCGACACAGACAGAGTTGCTCAGATTGGTCAACGAACAAAACACTACAAGAATTTTTTTTTTAATATATCAAGCATTGTAGTTGTACCTCCAGACAAATACTGTGATCACCATCATAATCACAACCACCAAAAAGGAAGTTTCCTTGTATTAATGTTAAAAAGGTGTGTGAAACAGCCCAATTGAGGCTAAAAATCAGGTTGAAAAAAAAAATCTTGTAGTGTCCACCATGGCAGACATCTGGGAGGTGCCTGTAGCTTTGGCACAGTTGTGTACAGTTGTGCTCTTCTGTGGTGATCCGTGTGCATTATACTACATTGAAGACCATGGATAGATACTGTTCATATGAAACCTGGATCCAGCCATCCTGGTCTGTGTCGTACCGCCTGAACACGTCTGTCAACCTCTGCGGAAAGGAGGGAAAAAGACATACAGTGTCGTATTAAAACGTCCTTGTTTCAGCACTTTGACAACATCATTTCACGTTTCATGTATTTACTACCATGGTTAACATCCATTCAACACTGGGTGAATAGTATAGGTGTTCTCTTCACATACTACTGAAGATGCAGAACAATCAACACATCAGTCAACACGAAGTCACTTATCAGATCTTGGTCTTAAAAAAAATGCCAGACAAAGTGAATGGCTGACACCTCTAGAGCTACTATATATATAAATTATATATATATATATATATATATATATATATATATATATATATATATATATATATATATATATATATATATATATATATATATATATATATATATATATATATATATATATATATATATATATATATATATATATATATATATATATATATATATATATATATATATATATACACACACACACACACACACACACACATACACTCTATCCTCCTGTACCTGAAAAGCTGCTTCAGCGGCGTTATAATAAACACACATGGCAGCTTCCACTGCAAGTGTGTGTGTGTGTGTGTGTGTGTGTGTGTGTGTGTGTAATTACTAAACTGGAACACACAAGCGGAAGTTACTGCTACAGGAGATTAATAATCTAAAAGGGAAGACTGGAATACGTTTCCTAAATATGCATAATTAAATCTCCCCTTTGAATCATGAATACAAGAGTAGCCTTGTTGTGATTCAAGTGCTAAACGGAAGGACATCCTGTAATCATTTATGTGCATATTTGTGGAGAAAAACTGGATATATCTTATTATATACAGTTTATTTTGATTTAGCGTGAATCTATTACCTGTAGTACAATGCAGCACTGGATGAAGTCATCGAAGGCAACCTGTCCCTTCCTCTGGCGGTCGAACTTCTCTATCAGTGTGTTGTAGAACTGATCTGACAGACGATACCCTGCACACAACAGCAAATAAGACATTAACAATATGCCGCACGTAGTTAGACAGCTCTCAAGTACAAAAGCTGAGCCACTACCACGGCTTTAACTGGAATATATTGATTATGGCGCTTCTGACATTTCCTGAACTTAAACAAAAGCCTTTGGGGATTTTTGCTGTTGCCACTTTTAGACGTAGAAACACAAGAACAAACTGAAGTCATGTGAAGTCAGATACAGCTGTTCCACCAAAGCTAAAGCAAGGCTTCAAATTCTTATTTTAAACATTTTACAGCGATTTGATTGCTAGTTTCTAAACTAGTATGCTGCAATTCTCCACCTGTAAATTCTCAGGCCATCACAATAACAACAGTTTTATTTGCACTTGGCACACTGGAGCTGCATGTCACATATAAAAAAGTACAGAGGGATGATTGTGAACAAAACTTAACAAGTATTTATTGCATCACTCTACATGCATTTTTTATTTGCTTTGTATTTCTCTGTATTCGTAGTTAACTGGCATTTTTAAATCTGGTGTCAGTGACGATTTTCCCCCGCTGATGAACCGGTAGTTCTGTGTTTTATGCCAACCAGCAATGACTGATTTGTCAGAGCTGAAGTGGAGCAACAGTAGCAAGAGCAGCAACTCAGTATGGCACTCTATATACATCATAAGCACGTGTCAGTGTTGTGTAATCACTCTCACTGTTAGAAGGGGGGAGACCAAAGCACCACACTGCAGGTTTAAGGACATAATTGCAAACTATTCCTTTAATAAACAATTACCAGTGGCATGTCGGTCTGTTAGAAGAAACAGGGTTCCTCTAACGACAGAATCTGACCTTTTGACCCAGAGTTTGTTCCTAGAGACAATTATGGGGCCCTCCACCACATTCATCTAATTGAAATGCACAAGCATACATTGCTGCTCACCAAATCCAGTCAGCGCCTGTCTGAGCTCGTTCTTATCAATGAAGCCTGAGTTGTCCCTGTCGTAGGTCCGGAAGATGTTCTGCCAGTCTGTGATGTACTTCCACACGCCAGCGAACTCGTTGAAGTTCACCCCGCCTTTATTTTCCCTGTCGAACATGGCTGAAGAAGAGGGGGAAGGAGGTCAAGAGAGTGATACACACACACAAAACACACAAAACACACACACACACACAAGTCAACGCTGGACAAAGTTGGGATGAATCATGTGACAAGAAATGGCACCACATATAGTTTTAAAGGGCTGTCAGAGAACAGAGAAACTGTGGGTCTCACACTTGACTCACTCCTGCCTCATAAGACTGTGTTATAACTGTAAGAAAACTGCTTGATTCCCCCAACAATACTCCACTCTCCACCCCTGCGATTCAATCCAATTACCCCCCAACAAAGGGAGTGTTATCACAGGATATGCTTCTTGCTGGGGGACTATTAAACAATGGATTTACCGAGCATGGTACAGTGGGAAGGGAAGGCGATGGAATTAAAGGGATTTAATGTGCAAGTCCCACAACAAAAAGGGAACAAAGTACATAGGAGACCGGGGGAAAGATATTTTGTACAGATTTTTTGTCTTAACATGGAAGCAATACATTAAAATGTGCCAGGAGTTTACAGTTAAAAAAGTTTCAGCTTCCAAACAAGATTTAAAAAAATACTAAAGCATATTTACATATCTTTGTGTGGAGCTACAGTCTGACCTACAACAGTGCAGGTAAAACTGCCTCTGCTGCAAATTGCAAATGTCTAAAGAGTGTAAACCAATCAATATTTGGAGTCCGAGGCAGATTTCCTCCAGATGCTCTCTCCTCCTCCTTCTTTTATTGAGGGCTGCAAGTTTCCACTAAAGCAGCAGTTAGTGAAGCCAAAGATAGGTTTGTTGTTTCAGCCCTCAGATTTGTTCAAAACGTAATTAATTTATCCGGTTGTCATGGAGAGGAGGCAAATGAACATCTCGCACAGTCTGAGAACAACAGGCAGCTGTGTAAAAATTAGCTGGGTCAGCGTCAGCAGCTACTTACATATGATGGAGCGCACTGTCACTGGGTTAAAAGGAGTCCATGTGCCTGTGAGACAAAAGAATACCAGTTAAACATACCAGCTCAATGAGACTGCTGGGATCTTTTAGTACCTATTGTAAGAACAAAACAAAACTAAAAACATTTACAATAACTTCACTTTTATAGCAGGTAAAGAAGTATTCAGTAGAGATTTGTAAATTTGCCAGGCACAGAAGTTAAGAGCAGCTGCTGTTGCTAGTATTTTTTGGACCCTTTACTTTAGATCTTCAATGGTTCAATAACATTTTCTCACAATAAATCACTTTAAGTGCCCATATTCATTGTTAAAGACCACTACTGTTTACCAATTTAATAATCTTGTTTTCTCAAATTAATCACCTCATTATATTGGGATAAGAAATGAGAGCAATGTTGATTATTATAATTATCTGTGAAATAATGAATGCTATTCCTTTCACACTGTCGTGGCTTACTGAGGCACTTGGATAGAACATAGCCATTTTTAATGTTATTAGTAACAGCAGTGCTTTTTCCTGCTATGACAAGTCAAAATGTCTGCTGAGGAAAGTTGACATTTAGGTGTAATCAGGTAGGATCAATCAATCAATCAATGGGCTTCATTTTAGTGCTAGGAACAGAAAATAAAGTCTTACCACATGATCTCAGATTACGTGTCAGTGAACAGAAACATTAATGTTCATTTGAAATCTTAAAATCCTTTCTGATATCCAATGGGAGCCAGTGCTAGGTTGCCTAAATTAGGCATCTGTCATCTAAAGTCTGCTGTAATATTTTAGCTTCCCCTGCCAGTGACGTAGACCGATCTGTACATCGACAAATGACGTACTGAAGTCATTGTTCAGTTCCCACAGGAGCCACCCCCACACCAATAATGTACTCATAGGAGGGGAAGATAAACGCTTTCACCAAATGGCAAAAATCCCATTACAGAGGGAGAGGTTGACATATGCATCCTAATATTTCATCACAACTGAAAAAAAAGTAAGTTGCATCTACTTGCTTTCCTAAAGTTGATGATACACAGAGCAACTTTTAGAGCAATCGTGCAGGGCAACGTTGCTGTCAATGGTAATGAGTAAGGATTACTACCGTAATCCCCTTCCCCCACCACTCCGCCACCCGCCCCGCACCGCCGCTATCCGTTCAAAACATAGTCAGACTTGCCACTAGCAAGATTGCCCAGCAACATTGCTCAAAAAGTTTCCCCGTGTATCATCAGCTTAAGAAGCAGTTGAGTTGTGTGACATTTTATGGTCCTTTTTCCCTATAAACACACATTTTTCACCTATAGGACAAACTCTTCAATCATATGAGAGTATACCTGTCATTGATAAGGTCAGAAAGAGACTGACTGGGCTTTAGTTTAGTAAGGTGTTTACCCTTTATAGCCTTCTCTCAACTCTCAAGACATTGATTTATCAGGGCATTTGAATCCTTGCTGACTCACCATCTCACTTTATTACAGGAAGCCCAGTCAAGTTCAGGACCAGAAATAAGGAAGGGTGATCATGGGGGGACGATGCAGAGAGGAGACAAGATTAGAAAATAAGAGGGCACATAAAAGAGAAGAAAGAGAGATAACCAGAAGAGCAAAGGCAACAAAAGCAAAGAGACACAAGGAGAATGAACACAAAACATTTGCGGTTTCGATTTTGTTGCAGCAACCTGAACTCCAGACGACTTCTGCTGACCCAAGATTCCTCCCTTGCAACTCTATCTGCAGACCCCAACACAGGCATCTGCAGAATCATATCATCTGTTCAGCATGGTGTCGAGCCCTTTTCACACTGTGCTGTTCCTCGCTGCAGTTTTGCTATGGCAGCAGCAGGCGTGTCTGCAGTGAGAGTGTATATAACAGCTCTTTGGAGTAGAGGAGCTCATTTCAATAAAAAACCTTGCAGAACAGAAGACATGTTTTATTGCTGATATATTTTGATGTAGATTATATCTTTGACAAAGTCCATAAAGTGTCCAAATAAATGATAAAAGGGTGTTTAGTGTTTGAAGAAGACTCGACATTTCCTTCCTCATGCTTGGTTTGCTTTATTGATGGCTGAGGCTGTCTGGGACTGTGGGTAGAGCTGCTCTGGGACCAGGCATGAGGCTCTTAGAGGAGCTGGGGTTTCAGCCAGAATCTACAATCGTACACTATCTATTGGAGTGCTGATCTAAAACAACAAGCGTTTTACATGTGTTCACATGTGTGACCAATTTGTTGAACCAAGTCAGAGTAACGGCTGTGTTTATTTGCTGCAGTGCAGTCCGATGTCATGTCTCCCACAAGTTGTTTTCTAAATAAAATGAAACACGTTTCTTAACTGATAACAGTATTTTAGAAACTACACAGTAGCTATGGAATGTGTTTCACTAACTGAACGATTTATGGGTATAAACCCTTCCAGACACTAAAGCTGCATATTTTGTAAAGACCTTCATGATGTCCACAGGATGAATCAAACAGACTTTTTACTGTATCGTCTCCATGAGGTTGACATTTGTGGTTTTTAGTGAAATGACGAAACAGCTATTGGATGGATTGCAATGAAATCTGGTTAACACATTCATTTCCCCACCATTGTCATAATTTTGTTGATCTACTGACTTTTTAATATAGCACCAGAATCAGGGAACATTTTTTAATTTGTCCAATAATTTGCAAATAACTGCAAAACTAATGACACTCCCATCAACCTGCTTAAAAGAGAATTTCGATATATTAAAACCTATTTTCACATATGTTGGTGGCAAAATGCCTTGTACTTACTACTCACGTTGACACCAAAATATGTGAAAATAGGGCCTGAGTTAAAAAATACAAAATTAGACTTTTGGCATCAGCATCTTAGAACTGTTTAGGAGCAGGGTGGTCCAGTGGAAAGCATAGTGAGTGCCCACTGCTCCCTTCAGGGATGGGTTAAATGCAAAGAATGAATTTTGCTAAATGTATGTCTGTGACAATAAAGTACCTTTACCTTGTCACTGTTACCATGCTGGCGTTAGCATTTAGCTCAAAGCACCACTATTTTTCTTAGGGATGCACTGAAATTAAAATTCTTGGCCAAATATAATGAAAAATATTCCCAAATGCAGAATACCGAAGAAGTACAATCACATATTTTCCATTTATTTTGCCTGCTTTTACCATTGCATAAATTAAATTGTCAAAATGTTGTTTTTACTCGGTGTTTGCCACAGGATTTGGAGAGACTATGGTGGGTGGGTTCGAGGCCCAAGAGAGTGTTTCCATTTACTTTTAATGTACACAATATGTTTTATACTTTCTGTGAATATAATCAAATTAATCTTATTTCCATACTGTATAGACACCTTAGTTTGAAAACCGGACATCCTCATGCTAAATTCATCAAGTTCGACCAAACTTGATAAATAATGTTGTATGCGGTTCTCGTATCATGTAACATGAAGCCTTAATAGCCTCTCTTCAGGTAGGACTGCCACACTTGTCTTTATAAAGAGAGAAAATTACAGGATAAAGTTGCTAACCTGCCTGTCAGCTCGCACTAGTCCGTTTCAGTGGATTTACCATAAAGGCTTGAATACGTGTGCACTCCAAATTTAGGTGCAGCTAGCTTAATCGCCTTCTTACAAACGAGTGACAGAAACACTCAAAGCGGGTCAGACCGCTTGTTGGCTTTTCTAAGAAGTCAGCCGCAGATGGAGTGGATGTGCTAGGAGACAATTCAGCAGAACAGTGTCTGCAAACGGTGATTTTTGCGTCTTTCTCAGACACTTTAAAATGCTTCCACACTACCGAAATGGGTTACATCAATGTAATTGTTCTGTAAAATGTATCCGGTCTTTTGACGTATTAGGCTGAACACCGAGTGTTTTTTTTTCTATTTTTGGCATCCCTAATTTTTCTACTGCAATTGGTTCCTTATTGGCAGATGTATATAGACTGAAACCGACATGTGCAATAAGCTAATATCAGTCAATGTACACACCTAGCTGATTTATCAGTGTAGCTGTAGAGATCTGACCACGGCTATCCAATCACAAAATGAAATCTGTAAAAAGTCGAATGTAACCATGGCTCCTATCTTTAAGATCATGAAATTTGCTTTCCTTATAACTTACAATGGGAATAGAGGTGCTCCGATCAGGATTTTTTGGGCCGATCACCGACCGCTGAAAGCAGTATCGGCCGATACCGATCACTGGGTCTGTTTGGAGTCTTTTATTTATCATGTAGCATTATACAGTATACTGTATATTTATTTAATTGGTCCTAAAAACAATGTATTAAGTGTTAAAGTTAACAGATAATAATAAATTGTCATGAAATGACAACTGTTTATTTTATTGCAAGGAAACATGGGAAACAAATTCCACTCAATCTGTGTTAGAGACTTAAACCATAGCAGCCTGGTTTCTGTGAATATCTTATAGCTTAACAAATATAGCTTTACTGTGGAATAAACTACAAAAACAGAACAAACGGCATGTTTATAAATTTACTACAACCATAAAAACTGCAACAAAAAAGACTGTAGCCAAAATATTTAGGAGATAAATTAGCACAGGCATCATGAGTCGATGATAAACTCTGAAGTAGCCGCTTTTTATTCTGGAAAGCTCAGGCAGGTTCTGTGGGCTTTAGGGGGGAGAGAGGAGCAGAGAGACGGAGAAGGGCTACAGAGAGGAGTCAAAACTGCCTTCAGTGAGATATGAAAATAAGGAAAATTTAAATAAATGTAACAATTTACAATGTAAATTCCATATTATACAGTCAATTGTTAATATTACATAGGCTACTATATTCATTATAATTTCATATGGTTTGCCATTAGTAGGCTATAGGCCTTATATCTTATCAGTGGATTGTTTTAATTTTTAATCCTTGTGCAGGAAGCACAGTCTACATATCTTACATGTTGCCACCGACTTTACCAGAGGAGAGAGTGGTATTTGATTTCATAAAGGTTAAAAATACGGGAGATTTACAGGGGAACATTTAACGGGTTGATACCGGGTAAGTACGGAAATATACGGGAGATTTACGG